CATAGTGAAAGTGAAACGATGCCTGAACTTGGAAATTAGCACATTACTGAGAGGTGCAAGTATGTTTGTTGTATCCCAACTCATGTGGAGAGTGTGGATTCCAAGACATCAACTTGGAGCCTACAATACAATATCGCTGTTACAACAATGTGGTGAAAGGAAAGAGAAGTGATGCTATCCCTGAGGGACATCCGAGCTGAGACACAGATATGACCGATCAACAGCAGGGTAGCCCGGCATAATGGCTACATTCAATGAGAGGTTACTGGTTAGCTGACAAACCAGTCAAAAAACTTCTCACTAACACTTAATATGTGTTCTACCGCTGTTTACATCCAGTTGTGGGATCACAACGACAATGCGACATGATAATGAACTTGAACTTGTTTCCCTGTGTGTTTCGGGTTGGACAGAGGTGTCAGCTCGGTTTTGCGCTCGTATGCCCATATTCTCTTCTTGGGGTACAAAATAGACTTTTTATTTCTTATTCCCGATCTTCGGAAACAATTACAAGTTTGGAAAAAAAGGAGCTCCCTGCCCTCATCTCAGAGCATAAACCAAAAGTGACTCTGTTTATTCGATAAACGATACCATGCAATGTTCTGTACAAATATGCCGACAGTTGATTTATTAGCTCAGTAAACTGTTTATGGTCTCAGGCGATAGTTTCAAGCCTTCTTCCACACAGCATGATGTTCATTTAGTAAATTATGGTCCAATTAGTAAAATAGATGATAAAGCAGGATATGCCTTTAGCTTTAGTTACCTTGTGATTGACACACTAAAACATATATTCAGTGTACTGTTTAATGTGATACGAGATAACGTGTGACCAGGTGAGCCGTCATTGTTTTCTGCTATGGACAAAAAAAAGTTAATATTTACTATACAAACATTAGAGTGGTATCAATCAATACTGCAGTATTAAAGGAATAGTAATATATTCAATCTGCCCTTACTGAATATATTATTGAATATATTATTATCACTGGGAGGACAGACTGTATATTGTGTGCCTTCAACCAAATAATATCATGTTCACGCGTCACATTTTTTCTCTCTTGGTGAAAGGTGATATCATGCACTAACTCATGAGAAGCTGCATGTGCTATGCATTTATTCAACCTATTTTTTGCCTTCTATTAATGACTGATATTCTTCTTCTCAGTGACTGGAAACTGAATATTGGCCACTTGATGTGACAGAGCAGTAAAGTGTGATTTATGTTTTAAAGGTCTAATTGGCAGCATTTCCTCCGTCTCCAGGCTGCACTAGTCAGATTTTTGACATATCTGAAAACCTTGGGAGATATATACTTGGCCTTAAATGGTGCTGGCTGGTCTCAGATAATTTATCTCTGTCTTCAGCTACCACTGAAAAAAGAGCAGACCTGCTTCTGTGGCTAACTGTATTTCTCTCTGGAAATATCGATTTACGTAGTTCAGCAGAACAATGTCCTGATGGAAATTTTTGTATGTAGGAAAAAAAACAATAAAATGGTTATAGATGCAGGCAGTTGAGGAAGAGCTCATATAACTTTACCAAACTATATTTTTTCCAGCCATTTTATCATAAAATCCAAATGTACTATGCTATAAAATGTTATGTACTGTAATGAGACACCAATCGTCTCCTCCAGACTTTTTGATTTCTGATAAAGTAGACATTAATTGGAGGTTTTTTTTAACCACTGTGGCTCTGATGGCAATTCTGGTCGGTCTCAACAACTGACATTTGGCACAGACAATCCTTATGATGAACTGTAATAACTCAACTTTTCATCTAGCACCACCATCATCTTTAAATTTCAATACTTTGGTTTATGACCAAATACCTGGAAACTAATCAATTAGAAAACATGAGCTGTACTTTGTGTTTAGTGCTACTACTAATTACAGAATGTTAGCATGTTAGGGTTGGGGGTGCTGAGAGAATATATGTCTATATAATGACATCACACTAAATGTTAAAGGCATAAAATTCATGGTTTTTCCATTGATCTGAATGGCCAGGATAATATATAGCCTATTTAATAGTTATTAATAACATTTTACACAAATCTTTTAGTGGATAAATTGTTAAAAAACAAAACAAGACAAAACCTGCTTCCTGCCACAAATACCAGTGCACACATGTAAATCCCAGTAAGATAGGGTAAAGTTTAAACATTTTAATGAACGAATGGTTTTCATTATGCCAGATTTTAGGGGATACTGCAGCAACTTCCAGCATGCATGATGCTAACACATTTACTTGGTAACGTTGACTTAAGCATTGCCCTATACGGCCTCACAGAGCTGCTAGCACGGCTGTAGACCAACGCTGTAGACTGTTAGTCAGATCGAAATAAAAATCATGTTTAAGATGTGAATCAGTCAGTATGTTTCTATTATATTTATAATATATATGTTTGTTTTGTAATGATATTGATTGATATTACTTCAAACTGCCAAGTTTGCCAAGTGTAATGTATAAAGTTTGTAGTGAAATGTTCAAAATGCTCAATGGGTCTCTGTTCTTTCTCCTCCATACTGACTCTCAACGTCTCTTTGTGATTAAAGATTTTGTAGTAAAGTGCTGTAAAATATGATATTTGCATTTTAAATAAAAAGTACTGCACTAACATTAAAATGATTTAAAATTGCTATTGATTCTTTTTCACAGTGTTTACCTTTATAGAATTTATTGTTCTACACATAAATGATAATTTCCACCTAAGTGACATCCTGTAAAAAGCATCAGTGGTTAATTCATTGTGAGCTGTAACTTTCGCAGCTCTAATCTGAATTATTCTCAGTTCTGTCATTGCTGTGTTATGCAAACATACAGCACATGTCTACATCATAAATTTTCAGGCAATGTCTGGTGTTGGGAATTATCTTAACATGGCGAGAAAACAAGCAAAGCCTTTTAGCTGTTGAGGCAATATTGATTTGATTTGCTTCCTAAAAGGGGAAATTTATAGATGCACGCCGTCTTCTCCAGAGAGTGATATTAGTTTCCCTCAGGAGGAAAGGATACTGTCTGAGCGAGGCGTGAAGAATTGGGTCCAGATTCAGCAGGAGCGTGGGCCCCTTTGTGAATGTATAACATGTTATTAAAGGAGAGAAAGTTGTTACAGGACTGTTTCTCTTGACGGTTACCCAAAGCTATCCAGTTCTGTGGTCGTAAGAAGTAAATTTATTTCTCGCCGTACACCGAGCACCAAGACAGCTGACGACACTAAACCCTCGTCTCAGATTCTCTGCCTTCCTCTCCTTTCTCCCTGCTTTTCTTATTCCCTCTCTCACTCGGACAGCTACTCTCATTTTCACAAATTCTGCAGTTTCACTCAGTCGCTCAGTTTGTTCTGTGTGTTCAAGCTGTAGCTGGAGCATGTTTTCATGCAGCTATAAGCAAATTATTGATTACGCACCAATGTGGGAGGTTGTATTTGAATTTGTTCTGATATTTGATGCTAAGCTGTTTGCTGTTGTAACTAATCCGACGGTGCCTGCAGACATGTAAAATGCATCCATTCCTGTTACTGTGTGACAGACAGAAACAGAGGGTGACCTATGGAGCTTTGTGTGCATGGAACACAAGGATGTTCATGTTTGGAGGAAAATCTACCCTAAAACACTTGAAATTAAGAGTTCATTCTTGACTTGGAGACAGTAGATGGCTAAACAAACTCACCACAAGGTCCATTTTGTATTTGTTGTGGAGCTTTCTATCATATCACACAATCTTCTCCTGCAGATAAAGTTTGTCTAGTCATCATGATAAACCTCAACTTTAAAGGTCCAATGTGTAAGAGTTAGGAGTATCTATTGGTAGAAATAGGATATGATATGCGTATGTATGTTTTCATTAGTGTATAATCACCTACCTGACTATAGGAATCGTTGGTTTTGTGTTACCTTAGAATGAGATAAATACAGATGCTGTGGGTCGCATTTCTACAGTAGCCCAGTATGGACAAACCAAACACTGGCTGTAGGGCCTTTTGCATTTCACAGCCTGTTCTCATTTCCAGGTTGTCAAATACAGATGCAAACATTCTTTTAATCTGTAATCACAACTCAGAGACAACATGGACATGATAATTATTTTTACATCCACAATTACATGACAACTCAGGTTCAATCAAAAGCTCCAGAACCTGTACAAAATGGTCCTTGTGGTGAGACATCCGCGCTGTAGTTCCCATTATGTTTGTTGGGGTGAAGATATATTATTCCTATACAGAAACAGCCCGACATACACAGAGAATATCTGAAATGATAGAGATCATAGATTTAAGTGTGCAGCTGTGGCACTAAATTAACTGGAAAATTTACACAGTTGCTTCAGAGGAATGCAGTATAGCCCATGTTGGCAAAATTATTCAATATTATTATGAAAGTTCTAACTTTATGGGATTTCCTGCAGTATACGTTCAAGGAGATTTAAGCAAATTAACATTACATTACATTACATTACACGGTGGTAAAAAGCAGTTAGGGAAAGATGTAGTTACAGATATAGGGGTACTTTAATTGAGTAACAAATTAATTCTATAATTGAAACTTTTTGAAAATATTATGATGTATTATCTTTATATATTATCCCAGTGCCAAAGCCTATTTTGTATCATTAATTATCAACATTTCATTCTCTAATCTTTAGCTTAAGCTTTGAGTTATAAATGCTTTTCTTTTTTTTAACTCTGTTGAAAAGTGGTGTACTGGGATTATCTCTACTGAAACATGTATGTAAGCACATGTACATTGGCAATCTTGTCTAAATTGCAGAGGCTAAGTTTGTCTCACAGTTGATAAACCTCCCACTTTTTGCATTCGTAGACAGTTTAGTGTCCTGGCTCACCCATCCATCTGCAGAACAGCAAGTTTTTCCCAGCTACAGTACAGTCGGCAATGGACGCTGATAACAAAGTTCCACAAGTTCAATATGGTCTGTATTTGGGCAGACAGACAGACAGACTGAGGAGGTATAAGAGAGCTGAACAGAGCTGAGAGAGTGTGTGTGTATCTACAGACTGTCATTATGATGCAGGCATTGGCCCTCCTGTTGCTTCAGGCAGCATATGGTGAGTAGCTGAAGCTGAACAGAAAAGCCACACTTTAAGATTAAGTACTCAATTAATTTCAGTTATAGAATACATTATTATGTGTTTGCAGTTTTTGGATGTGGTACGCCTGCTGTGAAGCCTGACATTAATAGGGTGGTGAATGGAGAGGATGCTCGCCCCCACAGCTGGCCTTGGCAGGTACTGTAAGCCCAGTGTTATAAATTCACTTGTTAATACTCATACAGTAATATAGAAGAATATATTCTAATTATTCACATGTGTTTTTCTCAGATCTCCCTGCAGGTGAAGCATGGCAGCCGTTTCCATCACACTTGTGGAGGGACTCTGATCGGATCTCGCTGGGTGCTGACTGCTGGACACTGCATTTGGTGACTAATAATAAGATTCTGTAGCTACAGTGTGATTCAAGTGAGAGCTAGAGACAGAGGTCAAGGATTTATTGAAGCAAGCAAACACGGATAATGTTGACGTGCAATGAGATACAAGACCCAGACCCAGAGAAGTCTAGAAATATACTGAATGATGGAAATGCGACTTACAGGCCCGGAGATGTGTACCGCGTGGTCTTGGGAGAGCACGATATGAGCCAGCAGGAGGGCACTGAACAGATCAGAGATGTTCTGCGCATCATTGTCCACCCCAAGTGGGACATTGACTTTGTGGCTGATGGGTGAGTTATATTGACTTGGGAACAAGCAAAAATGTGTCCATTGCAAATCGATAAATAAACTTGTTTTCATATCACCAGTGGCATCCTTAAGAAACATAAATAATACTGTTTGTAAGAAAATACCTACAATATATGTACAATATAAAGTAAATGCAAAAGCATATAAGGAATTTGACATGAATGAAAGTAACAAGAATGAATAATCTCAATCAGTTAAAATCTAACCATAATGACTTTCTCACAGCAATGATCTTGCCCTGCTGAAACTGGATAAGAGCCCCATTATGAATGACAGCATTGGTGTGGCTTGTATTCCAGAGGCTGGACAGATCCCCACCCATGGGACAGCGTGTTACATCTCCGGCTGGGGCAACCTTTACAGTAATGTCACCCTGTCCTCATCTGTCATCCTGCCTTTTTCAGGGATTCAGTTGTAGAAAATGATTGGATGATTTAGGCTCAGACAGGTGCAAATGTTGCCTAGAACTCAGTTTTAACATTAAATGTGAGCAATGATTGTGATCTACACTCTCTGCCATTGTTGGGCAGTAATTTGTATTTTGGTAGTCACATGAAGTTACAGATTCCTCCAAATCAATTACTTTGACATTTTGTGGTCACTTTTTTGCTGTCTTACCACAAGTTTGATGTTACATTCGGGTCACAGAGGTAACTGTAGGCCGTATTTTTCTCAATAACTCCTCTAACCACAGGGATAGAAAATTATTCTGTCCACTGAGCGATAAAGATTTGTATTGTTAGATACAACTGTGTCTGCAGCTAGTTGGCGGGCTGCAATTTTTGTTTAATTCGGCACAAGTTCGGAAAAGGGTTAAAAACATTTTGTATGATCAGCAGATGGAATAATTTTTATCCAGATAGAAGAGAAGAAACAATGGTAAGTGTTTTTAAAACGATTTCCTTGGTTTCTCAAACCTCGTCAGTTAGAGTTCGGATTATATTTTAAAGATACTGATGGTTACCTGTATATAATGGCAGGAGAGGCACAAACTGGGGCTAGCTTGGCGCGGGGCTTGAGGTATGGGCAGGCGGTTAGAAATATGCAACGTTTGGTGCCATGCCGCTGTTCCGATGGCTCATTATATCGAAACCACGATAGTCTGTCATTGGACCAAAAGCCCATTATCCTAAAATCAAGCAGCCATTGCTCCAAAGGCCAATTACAAACATACACAGTCTCTCTGCAGTTGCACCATGTCAGTATCCCGTTTGGCATTACCTAGCCATGAAAAGTACACGGTGAACCAGTCTGTGTATCACATGCTTCGCAAGATACCAGGCAATGGCGATTTGCTTTCAGGATATCGGGCTGTTGAACAAATGAGCTTTCGGTCCAATGTGACATTTTTTGGAGTACTGGGGTTCAAATTTGGGCTCACATTCAGGAGTCATTTTTGTTTAGAGTTGGAATGTGTGTGAAACGTGCAGCTGAGGTCTGGACTTCCAAAGAGCTGTGTAGTCACACAACATTAAGCTAGCTGTTGTTGGTCAGTAAATCCCAAATTGTAGGTCTGCTTGCTTAAAGCTTTCTGTTTCTACACGCTTTAAATACAAATGATGCAACTTGTGGATGTGGAGTAGTAAAGAAATCTTTGATTAAGTTGGGCTGAGTAAGGAAAGTAGTATAATGAGAAGTGTAAATTTTTACTTGCTGAGTAATTAGTCAAATAGTGTAATTACTCCTTAAATGAGTAGCATGTACTGAATGGTTGCAGTTTTCAAGGGACTTGCACAACACTGCTCTATGCCTTATGTATGTGATGTACTTATGTTAAACCGCTCTACCCTCTCTGTTTCAGCCCATGGCCCCATGCCTGATAAGCTGCAGCAGGCCTTGCTGCCTGTGGTGGAATACAGTGTGTGCAGTCGCAGCGACTGGTGGGGCATCAACGTGAAGAGCACCATGATCTGTGCAGGAGGAGATGTCGTATCTGGATGCAATGTGTGTGAGGCAACAAAACAAAGCAGCTTGTACCTGTCAGAACTAAACTACCTGCCATTAACAAGGTCAGCTCCTTCACAATGTGTCCCTGCTTCTCTCTCAGGGAGACTCTGGTGGCCCTCTAAACTGTTTGGGTCAGGATGGTAGGTGGTACGTCCAAGGTGTCACCAGCTTCGTTTCCTCCCGCGTCTGCAATGAAGTGAAGAAGCCCACCGTCTTCACCCGCACCTCTGCCTTCACCGATTGGCTCAGTGATGTAAGTTCATCAATAGACTCTATTTGATCACTCAGAAATGTTCCAAACTCAAATACCACTGGTAAATAAATCATTTTATGTATCAATAAGTCATGTTTTATCCTCAGGTTATGCTGCACTACTGAGGAGCTGCTGGACATGAGTTGATCAACTCCAAAAATAATGAGGTCCCAAATCCCTTTATTTTCCCAGTTCATTTCACGTCAGGGTCAGACACAGTCTGTCATCACTAAAAAACATTAAAGTATCTTATAATAATTGTCATACGCTACAATAAATAAAATGTTTTATCAGCATGTGTCTGGTTGCAAATTGTTGGACCTGAATTTTAATCAATGTCGCCAATGCCTAATTCTTTCCACAATCTTGTGTATGTTAAAACCTGCAAACAACCACAGTCGTTCATTAGAAACCACTGCAGCAGCAGCAATCAGACTAAATCTGCATTTTTTCATGTCTTAAAAACAGATGAGAGAAGAGTGTAGAAAGATTTACCATCTCTGTGTGTGTGGTGCCACTTAATATTTCACCCCCCCCTGTTGTGTGATAAGAATGAGGAATGGCTGCCCATCAGCGTGTGGGGAGGACTTATGAATCAGTATCTCCTATCAATCTTCGCCAAGGTCGGCCAAGTGTCGGCGCTGGTGAACGTACTGTCTGACACACCCAGGTGGGAGCTGAGCTGGAGAGCAGCACTTCAAATCAGATAAACTGCAGCGATAGGTTACCTTGATCCACAACCTCAGCAGTCTGCCGCCTGCATCCGATAACAGCAGCGTTTTGAGACACTTTTGACATATACATCAAGTTTGTGACAACAGACTTTGCTATTTTTAGCATGATATAATGTGATAATACACTAGGTACATACAGTAACAAGCTCCCAACTTTGTTTGAATCTTCTTTGAAATGGTTCACATTTACATTTAGTGAGTATTGCAACAAAAGCATAGAAATATAACAATGTACTAAAACCCTCTGCAAGGAGTTTTTAAATGGTTATGAAACAGTCTCAGTTGAATACTGATGCCTCTATATGACTTAAATAAGAACACAAGACCATCAGCGAGAAGACTGACTAGTTCCCATTCAAATTAATGAAACGAGGTGGTGGAAACACCACCTTTTTGTCCACACACACAAAAATGAAAGTCCCTTGTTGCTGCTTACTTAGTAAAAGTGGCAATATCACAGTGTAGAAAAACTCTACAACAAGTAAAAGTACAAAAGTATTAGCATTAAAATATACTTAAAGTACCAAAAGTAAACATAGATATATAGATATCAGAATAATAATTAATAAATAATACTACTGTTATATTATTGGATTATAATCATTGATACATTAAGTTTTACATAACTTTAATGTTGCAGCTGGTAAATGTGCCGCTAATTTTAAGTTATCAAATGAATGCAGTACAGTAAATAGTACAATAGTTGTAGTGGAGTAGAAGTATAAAGTAGCAGGAAATGGAAGTACTCGATTAAAGTATCTCAAAATTGTACTTCAGTACAGTGCTTAAGTACATACACTAAATCACTTTCCACCACTGGCTTTATATTTCTATACCCAAATAGTTTTCAACAGAAAACTGTCATCCAAAGAGTTCTGGTACACACTGGAGGACGACCTGCCTCAGATACACAAATACACCCCATACACAGTCATCAACCCTAGATTTATCACTCTCAACCCCACCCACTATGTATCTCTGAGACATCAGTGTATCTGAGAGCTTATAGTCTATATTATCAAACACTGTCTGACACCAAACAATAAGACTAAACAGAGGAGTGAAGTTCTGCTTCAAACCATGACCTGAACACAAACCTTTTGACATTTATCTGTCCCCATCTGCTGGTGCATAAGGTAACCTGCTCAGTGTTGACAGCATCACAGCAGCTCCATCCAGTGGACAGAAGAGAAGATGGAAAGACCAAACTGCACTGATGACTGCTGTGATCTCTAATATAGGCATCAGACATATTAACTCTTATACTAGACATATGACATAAAAGCTGTTCCTCTGCAATAAGTTTCAAACAGATATAATTCCCACTGGGGACTTTTCAAAACCCTATTTTGTCCTCCTCACTTTTACTGTTTCATTTTGCTTTACTCACTAAAATCATTTTGAATCTTGTCTTCCTGTTGTCCAACCATTGTATTCCAGATGAGGTAAGAGGAGATGTTAAAAATATTGATGCTCTCTGAATTCCCTCAAATGGTTACAGCATGCTCACAGCAATCAGCTGAACCAGCAACAGAAAGAGTGCTTGAGGGGCTTCTCTAAGCCCCGGGATTTGCCTCTCAGGCTACATCCAGCTGCTTGAGGCTCTATGGAGCCTAAAGGGAAGACTTATAGACACGGCTGTGCTATAAAAATAGTGCATTGCTGCTGGTAAAAAGCCATCTACAGTTAATATTATTTAGTTCATAATTAATTAAACATCAACCAAAGGTAAGCTGGTAAAGCACAGGGGTCTCTGTAGTTAAGACATAATATGTCATATGTTCTGTCAAGGAATTTAATTTAATTTAATTAGGATTAGTGAATTAACATTATATTCATATGGCATATAATTCTTTTTTGTTATTGTACTATTAAAGAAGCAATTACCAATTTCATCTAAATCTGTTGTTTGCTAGATTGATTTACATATGAAAGTAATTAAGAATTCAGTTAAATACTGTCAGCTAACAGACTCTTCTGTATCAGAGCACTGCTGCAGTATTACCCCTTATTTGGTAAATCCTAAAAGTGGAATTGTTGAATTGTTAATGATTATTTCCTCACTGGTTCAGTGTCTCAGGAGGGTCACAAGACCCCGACTGAGACTCAGCACCACCTTTGTGCTCCCGTGCACAATAAACTATATGGAACATCGTGAGTGAGAGGACATTGCTCCAGGTGAAATTTTCATCAGTTTTGTACAATATGTATTCTAGCTCCCTTCAATGAATTGATTTTAAAATAATGCACTGTAGCTTACAGTGTCTGAAATTACATTTTGACCATGTGGAGGCAGCAGGGTCACGCTCAACACAACAGGAACATTATATTTTAGAAGACACCAACACATTTTGGCAGTATACAGAACCTGGAGAGGCATCATGTTGCATTCTTTCTGCAAATATTAACCACACGTATGCATATGGTGGAGGGTGTTTTCCATTATTTCAAAATAAGGGGCTTTCCATACTAAGGTCAAGGTGAATGATGTGTTATCGTATTTTGTAATATATATACTCCCAACAGTCAATTTAAAACATGGTGTTAGTATTTGGAGTAAACCTGTAAAAAGACACCTTCTATCACATCCAAATTCAGCGTCACTTTGGCTATAACCTTGATACTGTAGCTGCTCAGTCTCACCACCCTCAGAGACTCAACCAGTTTGGACGGGCTCTAACAGCTGAGTTTTATTGTTTTATAGATTAGAGCACAGCCTACTCACACTGTAGTACTACAGGGTGGCCCCTGGGGGTAACAAGAGGACAAACTGTTTAACCCTGTGTGGACTGTGCCAGCATGGCAGATAGATGGCATCAACTCTGTGGCCTTGTAGGCAATCATTGACTCTGATACCATAACAAATGTCATAAGGAAAACAAAACATTCAAGAATACAGTGCATTGCTTGTAAAGGGGAGGGGGGTCATAAGAATTTAAAGCAGGTCTTCCATGTATGGCAAAAAAACAGGTCATAATGTGTTTTCTGAAAAACAAAAAAGAAAAAAAAAGGTCACTCCCTGCTGTCCAACAGAACCAAAAAAAGCCACTATATAATTACGGGCATTACAGGCATAAGTATTTTGATTAGTGTGTGGGTGGAAGGAAGATGAAAGCAGCATTCCAAAGGTTAAAGGTAAGCCTCAGATGCACTTTCCAACGTATGTGGGTCTCCTGAAGTCACATGGGCAAAAACCATTGCATCAAACCTAATGAGTTAGTCACTAAATAACTAGGTCAATTGTAAAATAAAGCCACTTCAAGATGCATCTTTATACTTTGGTGTGCACCAGCTGTGAGTCGAGCTGGTCTCATGCACGGATCGTGTCACATTACTGTGCATGCTGTGGAGAAGTCAAGGTCAGACCAAGAAACACTGCTGCAACCAGGCAACAGCTGTCACACATAATGTCACTGGTCACAACTGCACAGAAGCTGAGCCACTGGGCGCGGGCACAGTCAATTATCAGTAACTCATGATAAATAGATATTTAATCAATACTCAATTACCTGGTTTTTATGTTGGTAATAATTTCTCCTGCTAAAGTGCAGTTATGCAATGTGTAAAGAAGTAATGAACATTTTATGGTGCTTTATCTTCAACAGGCAATATCACCGAAACAATAACATTGTGCTTCATATTCATTTTGAGTACCTAAACATATATTTTTGGAACGTTTTAAACATATTTCATTTTCAGTTGAGTCAGAATGTGTAAAAAAGAAGAAAGAGAAAAATACAAAAGTACAAAAAATAATTATAATTATTAATAACATTACAAAAATCCAACTTAATTAATTTACATTCAAATCCGGATTCAGATTCAATTTTTTTAACATAGAAATGCTTAACACAGTGTTCACTTGGCTTTGCTGTTGTAATTAATAAAGTAAAATGTCTTTAAGAATGTGTGCTACTTTGTGAATGTTTTTCTTTGTTGTTTGTCACTTTTTTAAGGTTCATATAATCAAACAATGTTATGTTGTTACTATTGTATACTATTCTACTACAGCACTACTATCATTTATTGTGTTGGATTAAGCATGCACCCAGCAAATATTTTATAGTGGTAAGTGTTTTGGAGTCGGTATTTTAATTGTTTTATTTGTAGGCGCTGTTGTTTGCTGAACACTGTGTACTTGATACTGCCTCATTATTGGCTGCAGCAGAGGTGGAGGAAGGATTTAGATAATTTACTTAAGGAAAAGTACTAATACCACACTTTAAAAATACTCTCTAATCTTTACTTAACAAAAGGCCACAGATCAGATTCGAACCCTGGACCGCTGCAGCACCTCAGTATATAGGTTGCCAGCTTTACCGACTGAGCTAACCAGACACCAAAAGGCCTACATTTAAAATGTTATAAAGTAAAAGTAAAATCAGTAAAATTTACTTTAAAGTAAAAGTAAAAGTATGTAATACAGAGTGTCATACACATATATGTAATGTAATTATAATTATTAATACTAATTCATTCATGTAGCAGTATTTTACTGTTGTAGTTGCATTTTTCCATAGGACTGCAACAAAAGATTATTTTCATTGTGGATCAATCTGCTGATTATTTACTGATATATTAACTACAAATACATTAAAATGATTAAAATATAAAATCAGCAAATGTTTCACATTTTTGGAGCTGGAATGTTTTACATGAAAATGACTTTATCAATAATAATATAATTTTCAATCAACTAATTGTTTCAGCTGTTCTTGTTTTAACAGTTGGGTTTAATTTGTAACAAAATATCATATTTTATAAACACTTCATATGTTTTTTTATGCTAAAATCTTCATTTGTGAAATAGCCAGTAACTAGAGCTGTCAGATAAATGTAGTTACAATATTTCCCTCTAAGATGTAGAAAGTAGCATAAACTGAAAATACTCAAGTGAAGTAAAAGTAACTCAACTTTGTACATAAGTACATCACTTATAATATATTTAGTTACATTCCCCCACTGCTGTGTAATAGTAAAGAGCTGTTGATGATATACAGGAGCAGTTTATAGCAGCTTACCAGCCCCCAAGTAAAAATAATTTTATCTAATAGAGATAACTGGTATCTTTTACTTCAGTCTTAAAGTGATAAAAGGGGTTGAAGAGGAGTATGAGTGAGACTGCTCTTCAGACATGCAGCTGAGGGCCTAGAAGATCTTTAGAACTTCTAGAGGGATCAAAATCTGGGGAGCGTATCACACATAAAACTCTGTAGACCAAAGTAGATTAAAAGCATCATGTGGGACTCTGCCTTTGGAGTTCATTTTCAGAGACTGAAGTCATAGGAGTTAAATTTCAGAAAAAAGAAAAAAAAAAAAATATATATATATATATATATAAATCGCCTCCATAGTGTGTAAGAATGAATTCTTCTGAAAGACACACACACATTTACCATAAAACAGACCATTGCTCCCAGGTCTGACTATGGCCAACTAGGAACTAAGTATTCCATATCAAACAAGTATCACATTAATCATCATACATTTAAAATAATTTACTGATAATTCATGTAACAAAAGATTTGCTTTGAGTTTTTAAAGTTGATTATTTTCCACGAACTCAGTGAACTCCTTTTTTATAAGTACAGCATTAAAACTGTAGTGATTATTTTATTGCAGCTTGGGAGTAACTGAAACATCATCCTAGCTTAATCATTTACTCCTATTCACACCATTTACTTTAGATGTAATATGCTATGTTGTTACTGCCATATCTCAGCCATATATCTAGCTATAAACTTCGACTAATAAGCAATAAATGTGCGCGCATAGAAGCGTGTGTGCGTGCTATCTAAGGTGCTGTAAACGTGTGTGCACATGTGCGAGTGGGTTGAGGGAGAATGAGGGTGTGTGGGTGTGTGTGTATACACACGCATGGCCTGTGTGAAGATGAAGATGATAGTGCATACATAGGTAATAATTACAGTTGTGGTTGTGAACACTCAGATATCAGCCGAAATTACAAGAAAATGCACAAAGAGTGACATGTTCCACATGGAGCTGCTCCTGCTCCAGTGTGAAACATGTTCAATGAGTCCATAAAGATTAAAACTGTAGAATCCAGCATAACATTTAACAACACAGTACATGACAAAGACCAACAGAGGATCAATATGACGTAGAACAGTGGTTGACACATTTTCGTCATGTCTTTTTGTGACCCCCTCATTCCAGGTTACACTCTCTGTGCGGAGATGATGTACGAGCAGTAGTTCTTCTCATTTTGTTCACTTAAAGGGTTTTTAAAGTCCTGAAGAGATGAAACTATACCCAGTAGCTTTAAAACCAAAACAAGCAGAAAAATGAGAAAACACAGGTAACATCTTGTGACCTCTAAAAATGTGTAATAATAAGTTTTCTTGCCACCCCTTCCACTGAGAGTAAGAAATGCAGCTTAGTGTTGCTTCCAACCACCAGGGGGCAAACTCTTCGATTTCATTATTAGATCTTGCATTGGTCCAGTACCTGTAGACTAAAGCCTGTAGGCAGGCGCTAACCCACATCTTTTAAACATATTGTTTTATTTTCAGCTATAACCCTGCTTCAATCGACCGACATGTTATTATTGTAAAAAGAGAAAGAGCTTCTACTTCTCAGTGTGTCAGTTTTCTTATCTTATATGTATCACCTCCAGCGCAGCCTTCCTCTCATACACCACAATATCATTCCATTGGTAATCTAACAGTGTGCCCCACATACAGATGCACCTTACAGCCACATGTGTGCACGACCTTTGAACTGAGAGTGTGCCTGTGTGTGTGTGTGTGTGCTCTCGGTGCGGCTCTATAAAAGCAGGTCCCACCCTCGAAGTGAGCAACAGGTGCCCCAGGTGAAGCCTCCTCCTCGCCGCTCCGGTCAGAGCGCTCCGCTGCAGGTGCGTACCCCGCCACCCCAGCTCCGCTAGCGTCAGGTCGGACAGAGGCCACAGGGCCACATGGGCACAGGAGAAGTGACTGTAATCGAGAACGTTTGGTTTTAAGGGTCCGGGGAGCGCAGGATGTGTGAGATGATACTTAAAGATGCAGTTACTCGGGTAGATTTGTATTAAAATCATCTCGGAGAGCCTTCATATTAATAAGATATTTATTTTTAGGTGTGTGTGTTTTTTAGGGCGTTATTTTTTTTTTATCATGGTCATTTTAAAGATTTAGTTCCACCTGTCATCCATTATGGTGGTTAAGTTGAGGCTATTGTCGGAATAGACTTTCTTTGTGTTATAATGACTATTATACAGATTGTAAATCATTGGATTGAAAGAAAAGCAGCACTGCACGGGTAACACATGGATAGAATTTCAGCTTTTTGCTCCATTAGTAACCTTGCTCCTTCTAATTTTATTTTTATATTTAATATATATTTTATTATTATTATTTTATTTAATAATATAATTACATGTATCTGATTTGAGTTTTACTTTGTATTTATTGGAACTTTTTGTTCCACAGACAGTCATGGCTCCAAGACCAGAAGTGGGGACTGATTCCTCCCCTGCACTCGGTATGTCCTTTTTCCTATGGCCTTGGATACTCTAAACCTCCTCAAAGTGTGTGTTGTTGCCACCTTTCCTAACATCCCCTACTGCCTGCCCTCTATTAGATGACAACAACCCGACTAAAGATGCGGCCATCCTGCCGGCTTACTCCACCGTGGACCTGGTGAATCCGGAGCCGGACGAGGAAGATCCCTGGGATCTCCCAGAGCTCAAAGACACTGGGGTCAAGTGGTCAGGTGAGGCAGCCCGCCATTCTCTCTGCACAGCACAGAGAGGACACCTTCACAAAAACCTGACTCTGATTCAGTACTTTGTTTTTCTCTACAGAGCTGGATACAAAGGGAAAGATTATGAGAGTGCTGACTGCTTTAGTGAAGACCGTTCTGCTGATGGGACTTCTCTACCTGTTTATCTGCTCGCTGGATGTTCTCAGCTCTGCTTTCCAGCTTGTCGGAGGTAAAAAAAATCAATTCACAGATTACATTTAAAATCTTTATCACCATGTGTAGAGAGCTGTGTTTTTAATCTGAGGGTGTTTGTGTGCAGGCAAAGCTGCTGGTGACATCTTCCAGGACAATGTTGTGTTGTCCAACCCTGTGGCTGGACTGGTGATCGGGGTGTTAGTCACAGTGCTGGTGCAGAGCTCCAGCACCTCCTCCTCTATTGTGGTCAGCATGGTGTCCTCTGGATGTAAGCAGACAGACACACACACACACACACACACACACACAAATGGAAGATGCAATTGCATTTATTTCCCATTTGTATAATGTTGCTTATATTCTTCAGTGCTGGATGTGCAGTCTGCAGTGCCCATCATCATGGGCGCCAACATCGGAACATCCGTCACCAACACTATTGTGGCCATGATGCAGGCAGGAGACCGAAATGAGTTCCGCAGGTAAATTTGAGCATGTAATAATAAACATCTGACTCAAGTAGGACAACAGCAATGCTGCAGTAGAATAATAACTCTACAAACAGTGTCTGGAACAAGAAGTTCAAGAGCGTCTTCCTTCACTTCCAGGGCATTTGCCGGCGCCACAGTCCATGACTTCTTTAACTGGCTGTCTGTGCTGATTCTTCTGCCCCTGGAAGTAGCCACAGGCGTTCTGTACAAACTCACTGACAAATTAATCAAATCCTTCAACATCCAGACCGGAGAGAACGCCCCTGACCTGCTCAACGTCATCACAGACCCTCTCACCAACTCCATCATCCAGGTAGAGTCGGCGATGTTGAAATCATCAACGAAACATTTACATGATTTAATAAAGAGTAGATTTAATTTTTACTTCCTGGGTTTAAATTTGTGTTCTTTTAGCTGGACAAATCTGTCATCACTGGCATTGCCACTGGTGACCCTGCAGCCAGAAACAAGAGTCTGATCAAAATTTGGTGCAAAAAAGAGACCAACACGGTAAGAAATCAACAAGAGCTGCATCACATGCATAAATTATTAGTTTGCCAAACACTGAACATAACACAGTAACAGTAAAAACATATGATAAAGCTATGTTTACCTCTGCTTTTGTCTGTTAATGACTGATATTGTCCTTGTATTGTGACCACAGCCACTCTGTTGTTAGATCATACCTTTAAGGTGTGTTATTTTATAAAAAGTGGAATGTTACCTGTCATCACTTAAAGATTATCATAGCTGCATTGACTTCTTCATTATTGCACTTGCATTTAATTCTGTTTTTGCCTCCGATCTTTTCTCTCAGACTTTCTGGAATGCAACAGTGGAGAGCTGCCCTGCTGGTGGCGTCTGCTGGATGGAAGGAAACCAGACCTGGACGCAGATGAACTCGTCTTGGACCGATTACCAGGAGAAATGTAAGCGTGCCTCCATCACTGAATACCCACTTTTTTTTTTAAAAAAAGAACATTTACAAAGCAATTAGGTTTACCTGATCCACTGAAGCTCAGTGAAATATGAGACACAACAACTTCCTTCATCCAGACCCTCTGATGTCCGGACAATGACTACCTTTGAGTCTTTATAGTGACTCAGCTCATACCCTCCTTTGACCCGTCTACCTGATCAATAGGTCTATTCATGCTGTTGCACTGAAGCACCTGAGTGCCACATGATCGTAAAATGCATCGCTTCTTCAAAGTATTCTGCCCCCAATTAAAGTAAATGATTTTATGCTTGGTTTTAAAAGTAATATACCACCATCAGTTTGTTTTCAAATTACAGGGAAAGTCACTTTCTTGCCACAAAATGCTGTTTTATCAGCTCCGTTTATCAAAGGTTTGCTCTTAAGTGAGTCATCCACACAAGGCTATTTTTAGCTGTCACATAATGCAAGCGCAGAGTGGAAACTTTAATGCCAATCATCTCTTTGACCGTCCGTTGCAGGCAAACACATCTTCGTCAATGCTAATTTGCCAGACCTGGCAGTGGGCCTCATTCTCCTGGCTCTGTCTTTGCTCGTCCTCTGCACCTGCCTCATCCTCATCGTCAAGCTGCTCAACTCCATGCTGAAAGGACAGGTGGCTGTGGTCATCAAGAAGGTGCTCAACACAGGTAAAAAAAAACAACAACAATTTCCCTGTCAACAAGCTCTCTGCAGCCTGTTTGATAGTCAGCACATCTGCTTCGATGGTGATGCTTGATGAGCAACACAGGTACAGCTTCACTGTTGCTTCTGGCTCACCTCCAGGTTCCACCAGTCCTGTTGTGTGACGGAGAAAGCTCAGGCACAAATGCTGCTTTGATAAAACTCCTCGTTTGCTCTAAGCATGAGTTCATAATGTGTGCAGTGAGACTGCTGTGCTCACATCAGGTTTATTGCTTACCTCCTGTCTTTCTGTTTGACGACAGACTTCCCCTTCCCCTTCGCTTGGGTTACTGGCTACATTGCAATTTTGGTGGGAGCAGGGATGACTTTCATTGTTCAAAGCAGCTCCGTCTTCACCTCAGCTATAACTCCTCTTGTTGGTAAGTTATCATTTTATAATGATTTGGCTGTATTATCTTGTTGTTGATGTTTTTCTTCAGTTACAGCATCATTTATATCCTGTCGACCTTCTTTCACCAGGTATCGGTGTCATTAGCCTCGAGAGAGCCTATCCTCTGACACTGGGGTCAAATATTGGTACAACAACCACTGCTATACTTGCTGCCATGGCTAGTCCTGGAGATACACTAGCCAACTCCTTGCAGGTAAGATGCAATGAAAAGTTTCCCTTGTGTGCCTGATTTTAGCCATGGTAGCGGTGTGGCTCTTTGTATGTCAATGTCACCACTGGTCCAAACTGAAATATCTGGACAACCATTAAATGAACTGTGATGAAATTTTCATAATCCCCTGAGGATGAATCCTCATGAGTTTGGTGATCCCCTGACTTTTGCTCAAGCACCACCATCATCATTTCTGTTCTAGTTAAGTATCTCAACCACTATTTGATGGATTGCCATGAAATTCGGTATCGATATTCATGGTCCCCTCAGGATGAATTGTAATCATGGATGTATGAAATGGGAGAAATGGATATGGATAATGGATCAAATTCTGATAGTGACTCTAGTCATTTCGTGGGGGTCAAAAAAAACTGTCAAAAGTGTTTTACAGACACTTCTTTCTCAATGTAAGCTTATGGGTCAGTCTTGTGGTAAATCTTTTTGGGCCAGTTTGCATCATTCACCGTCACAATTGCTCCCTTACACGGTTTGGCCTCTATGTCAGATTGGCTTCAAAATATGCCGCTCTTCCTGGGGGCTTAAATACAATAACTGATGCCATTGTAGTGTAGGTTTATCCAAATATTCACTTGGGTGCCAGACAGGGGAATAATCCTAATCATAAACCCAGCACAAATATGAAAATAAGTCAACTGAAAAGAAACCTCAAATATCTTATCGCGCCAAAATTATACAGAATTATACAGCCTCAGCTGTGCTTTGTGTTTACTGCTAATTAGCAAATGTTTGCATGCTAACACACTTAACTACTAGGGTGAACATGGTAATCATTATACCTGTTCAACATCAACATGCTAGCATTATAATTTTGACCGTGATAGCATGTTGATGTTAGCTTTTAGCTCAAAGCATTGCTGTGCCTTAAGTACAGCCTTACAGAGCCGCTAGCATATGGCGGCTCACTCTTGGTCTTGTCGATTGATATTTTCCAGGAGATTAGTGATAGCCTTGTCTGAATGTCCTCATGTTTTTTCTAGATTGCACTCTGCCATTTCTTCTTCAACATAATGGGTATCCTACTGTGGTACCCAATCCCCTTCATGCGGGTGCCCATCAGGTTGGCCAGAGGGCTGGGGAACCATACGGCCAAATACCGCTGGTTTGCCGCCCTCTACCTCTTCCTGTGCTTCTTGGTTTTCCCTCTGACTGTATTCGGCCTGTCGCTGGCTGGCTGGCAATTCCTGGTCGGCGTCGGCGTGCCCATCGTCGTGTTGGTTCTCTTTGTGATCATTGTCAATGTAATGCAGTCTCGCTGCCCCCGCTACCTGCCCAAGTTCCTCCGCAGCTGGGACTTTTTGCCCCGGCCACTGCACTCCATGGCGCCCTGGGACGCGGTGGTGACCTCGACCTTTGGTTTCTGTGGCAAGCACTGCTGCTGCTGCTGCAAATGCTGCAAGTGCTGCAAAAAGAATGAGGATGAACAGATCAGGAGGAACAGCAAGAAGAGTCTGGAGATGTACGATAATCCAGCCATGTCAAGAGATGACGATACAAAGGAGGCTGCTAAAGCAACACAACTTTAATATTATTAAGTTAAGTTTGTATCTATAAGCGATACTCAATGCAATAATGTATTTGGAACTCACTTGTAATTCTTCATCTCTCAGGTTGTGGTATATTGATGATTCCCTGTTGATGGATGATATACTAAGCACTGTACAACAGACACACTGACTAACACTGTCTATCACCATAATGCTGGAGAATATGCACAGAAGTGTTGGACATATTATTATGTAATGTTTATTTTATGATTGATATGTATTGTTCAGACTCACTGTCTGCCATGGCTTAACTATGGGTGGTTCCGAATTTTTTTTATATTTTTATGAGATCTGTAAGAGGCCTTTGGTTTTATTTTTATTCTAAATTTCAAATGTTTATTGTAGCATTTAAAATATTTGTTATCTTTCAGTATTGAAGACTACTCTATAATATTTGTAAATAAAAAAAATTACTATTTTTAAAATGCAATATTGTTGCTTTTTTTCCCCATCACTTGCAGATAACATGCATGAAGTCAATGCTATTTATAGGTACTGATATGTGATTTGAACTTGATATTCAGTTCAGATATCGCTAGTCATGCATGTGTTGCTCATAGATTCACTAGATCCTGTAAGTGTGTTATAGAAAATGGCTTCCTGTGTAGAACCCTGTATCTGATTTGCCTAAGAACAGTTTTTGTTTTTTTTGTTTTTTTGTGACTTCAGGCTGAAGCACCATGCTAAATCACTCTATAATTAATATCAATAAGTAATATTAACCAGGTATATGGGCTAGCTCTTGATTTCATTTGTAAAGACAGAAATGACTAGTCCATAGATTCTGACACATTGCAGTTAGGGCTGTAATACAGTCAGTAAGGGCATGACATGGACTCATCTGATCTTGTGAGTCCAATCAAAGTATCTGCTCCTCCCACACCACCACCCACGCTACTCTACCTGAGCTATGAAAGTTTTGTAATTTTCACTAAACTTTCTTTTTCTTTCTTTTTTAATGGGTGGGTTTGCTTGTTTCGGTTTAATTTTGTTGTTTCGTTTAAGTGTAGTAAGTTTCAGTATAAGGTTTGTTTTATTATAATAGGGGCAAGATTTAAGAAGTTCAGAGAAGATAAAATATTATAATATGATTTGTTAGTTTTGAAAGTACACAGTATCCTTTCAGGTAATTTTTTGTCTTTTTCTAAAATCTAGTTGATTTTTAGTTCAGTTAATTAGTTTAGGTTAGTTTAACTATAATAACCTTGACCTGAACGCTGCCCGTCCTGTATTTATGAGGTCCAGGAGGAGGTGGCACAGATCAAAGGAAGAAGTTTTAACTTTTATTGTTTTATTTATTATTTAATCATTACAAACAATCATTTGGAACATTGGAAAATGCTGACACAGTTATGTCATTGATTTCAGAGCAATGTTGACACATTTTCCAGCTATATACTGTAGCTGTGGATGCCATTGTTCATGCTTCATGCTAAATGAGCCATTATTATAGGTAATTCATAATATTAATATGAACACTTTTAGTTTCTTCACTTTTCACCTTCACTTTTTCAATCTTTTAACTTTCAGGAATCTTAATATTTCGTTTGCCCCTTTGATGAGAAACTTGTGTTTGTGTCACATAGTGATTAAACAGTGTGACAATTTAGTGCAACTGTCATTAAGTTGCAAAATAAACTTCCTGATATTTGATTTATTTAAGTCTACTAAACTACTAAACTATGAGCAGCTGAAGTCCTACTGAAAGCTGACTAATAAACAGAAACTGATCTATGCACTGTCACTGGTATTAAAATAGTTTATCAGTGTTAGATTCTGGAGTTCACGTAAAGTCTTATCTAGTTTTATCTCCAGTTCTCAGAATTTTGTCATTATTTTTACACCAACCACAGACACGTATCAGGTAGTTTCACAGGTCAAAAGGCAGACATTGAGAATAGAAGAGTAGTGGATGGATATTTTAATGAATACAATACTGTAAAAGACAGGAAATATAAATATTGAGCAATGTGGTAGAGCAAATACTGTAAGCCTTGGTTTAAGGGCTATATCATTATTTACATGGAACAAACTATGCCTCCAGTTTCACCATCAATCAAAATCCTTCGTCCACAAACCTTCGTCCACAAAAGCTGTCAGCGTGTTGCAACAAAAAGGCTCAGGATTGTTCACAAAGATATCAGCAGAGTAAGAACAGCTTCCACTGGCCAACCACAAATAAACTGTTCTGGAGGATTTTTTAACCACAGTCTGAGGAGTAGCCTTTTCAACACACAAGCTGGGAATGCTGTAAAAACTGGTACAGACAGGGGAATCTGTAAGGGGAGCACGTTTAGCCGTTTCAAAACCATGGAGCTTGCATGACTTTTATATTTTATGCCAGCATTACTGAACAGAGTTATGTGTGAAGATTATTTTACTCCACAGCAAAGTCCATTATCTGGCAACAACTTGAATCTACTTTGTTACCTGTCCAACTTTAACTCTTTAGGCAAGTGTGCAAGTATGATTGTGTATTTGGTCATGGTTAAATAATAAAATAACTTCACTCATGGTAAAAACAAAAAACATAAAAAAAAAAAAATCCAATTATAACCTGGAAAGACAAAGCAAATATGCACACAAGCAATTCAGTGTGAGCAATCTATTCTTAAACTCACCCTGCAATAAAGTAAATTACCAACAATCAAGGTTTCATCAGTCATTATGCTATCAACTCATTTAAATCTTCACATGGCAACCCAAGGGCAGTAAAAAAGTTCCTGCTCTAATGTCAATTGCAGATAGCAATGTTTTTACTGTAAAATAAAGCACTGAAACAACGCAGTTTCAGATGATGTACAGTCTGTTGTCAGTTACCTAAAATGTATTGACTGACATAATATGAAAGAATTAAATCAGATCAGATTTCCATGAAATGACATCAACCCACAATGTTTCATACTTCCAAGAAGCAACTGATTAGTTATTGTTGATGATCTACTAGATCTGAGATTGGAGGAGATTGCATGCTGAACAAAATATATTTAACTTCACAACAACGTGGGTTATGAGTACACCTTTAAATTAATTCTAGTTCAAAAAGTAATTTTTTTGGCCACTTGGGTGAAGAAACAAGATGTAAACACAACATATTTCCACCTTTTAAGTTGCTTATTTATACATCCAGCAAAAACAGAGCAACATTATCATTCAGTGGGAGTCATGTTTCTGTCCAACTGGTGCTTGTACATCCATTATTCACTTTTAGGTCCGTTTTTGTTTGCTACCAACTCCTGTGGGAAATATCAGGCTCTTTAGCTGCTAAATGATCACCAGCTAGTTGCTAACTTTGTATGTCATCTGGAGCTGGGCATGTAGTGCACAGTGGATATATTGCTGAACAGCTGCATGTTGCAGCTGGAAACGTTGCTGATGAGAGTGGTGAGAATAAATCAAAACATGCGAAAAAGGCAGGCGCCGTAAAACCAAAACAATGTGCTAAAAGACTAACAATGCGTAGCGCTTCATGGAGCTTTGTCTGTGATTATCTGTGAATTTGTCACTACGAGCGCCACCTTTAACATTACACCAAGTTATCTGAAACATTCTTATTATAAACATGTTGATTAGAGCAGCTTTAACTTTGCAGCAGTATGTTAGATCACTATGCATCGAAGCCCATTTGTAGCAGCTCTGTGTCGTTCTGCACCTTAGCAATTACGCCGTCGTTTTAAATAGGCAATTCTGTTTTATAACTACCAATAATGAACAGTGCTACCCAATGCATACTGATGAACAATAAACCTGATATATGACCACATATTTAAGACCCTGTACGCCCACACAGCACTTTCCACTTATTCTGTCTGATTAGATCTCTGCTCGAGTTGTAGTTGGGTGGAGCTCTGCTGTAACTATCAGGCCACCAAACTTTATGAACCAATAACAATAATAACAGTGTAACTTCTCATATTCAAACAGGTGCAACAAACCAATGTCAATCAAGCACACAGTCTAGTCAACATCAGTGGGCAGAGGGGGTGTCGGGCAAGGTTGTAGGTAATAACATACATCATACAATACTACATGACAAAGCAGCCTAAAAGTCCAATAAATACTGATCTGATATGAAGCCCTGTTTGTTGTAGCCTGTTTCAGACATACTGAATGTTGTACACAACCTATAATACTTGCAGTACAGTGCATTGTTTTCCAGCCGTGTTGTTAAGGCAGGCTGGTCATAGTGAACCTCAAAACACATGTCCAGAAGATAAATGGATGTGTTTTATTTCTGCTTTTGTTTCATGTGAATGCACAAGTACAATTGTCTTTAAGGTGACACAGTACATCCCTTTGCTCACATTAACAGCCAAATCACCACCACTCTGTTGGAAGGCCCAGTTAATCTGATTATTATTGTCTATTATTATTATCTGATTATTGGTTTTACAGTAGTAGGCAGGCTAGTATGTAATTACTGGCTGCCGACTGGTGAAGGTCCAGAGTGGCCAACCGACAGGTGAGGACACCCAGTGAGTGTGGTTGGACACAATCAGATCTTCATTGCAGCTGGAATGCAGAGTAAAGTCAGTACTTAAGCTCCAGCAGAGGCTCGGTTTGCAGCACACAGCGGAGGTTTCAGTGCTTTTCCACGGCCTTTGCCTGCTACGACGTGTCAAAACGTCGTAGCAGGCAAAGCGCAGGTTGAATTAATAATGACGTCATTCCATTTAGGTATGCCATTTCCACTGTATTGGTGTTGTGCATGTCACTGACATAACATACTGGGACACTTCAATGAAATGGAGCCATCTTTGATGTTAATGTCAGGTGTGCATCCCTGCTATGAAAAGTCACATGTGAAGACTATTATTAACTATTAAGCAGCAAAGACATGAGATAGGATTCCATCAACCAAGGAAGGCTGAAAATGATACTCCATCCAAAATGGATGTTTTTAGTATGACAATGACATAAAAAGTGGTCAATAAAAGTTGGTAAGTCCATTTAACATAGATAACACAGCTCAAAGGGAGACTTTGAACACATGTTTCATTGTTTCATTCATTACTTAATTATTAAACAGTCACCAGGTGTTATTTATGAGTGCAGTGGACAATGCTGACACAGTTATTACAATGAATAAGCTAATAAAGCTAATTTGGCATTGGACAATGACACGATGCATTCAAAGCCACAATATACAGCTGAAAATATTTCAACATTTAACATAACAAACATATGAGTTAATATCTGAATGACCTGAAATTTAACTTTTTGTATGAAAATCCTCCTGTGGGCTTAAAAGGTCGTCAATAAAAGTTTGTAAGTTCATTCTGCATCCATAAGAGAGATCAAGGACAAAGGAACATGTATTGCATTGTTTCCTTTATTACTTAATTATTAAACACTCACTGGGCATAATTTATAAGTACAGTGGACAATGCTGACACATGTGGTAATGCAGAAATGTCAAATGTGCTATTTTTTAGATCATTCATAGTGATAACACTTTTAAGAATTAAACACAGTTAATATTTCATTAACCCAAAATTTAACTTTTTGTATGAAAATGCTCACTTGTGTAGGATTTAGTGGCATCTAACAGTGAACTTGCAGATTGCAACCATTTGACTACAGCTCAACCTTCCAAGCAGGTACGAGAAACTATGGTAAAGATGGTAAAATACTAACAGTCAGTGACTACAAATCTCTGAAATAAACTGAAATAATGTGAAACCACAATTCAGAATTTTCACCATCAAGGTTCACAATTTATTTTTCTATATTAGTAATTTCTAATAATTCCACTGATATTAGTTACAATCCAGAACATACATTAAAATCCACTTTTAATTGTATATAATGACATAGAAGAGTGAAATGATATTCATACTTTATATTAAACGCAATACTCTATTGGATAGAGCCGAAATTAACCAACAAAGCATCCTTTCCTCACCAAACCCTGCAGGTGCCAACCAGGACACAATTATCAAGAAAACTGAATCAGAAAACAAAACTCTGAGAACAACAAGACCTGAATACGTACTAGCTCTGCAGTGGTACATACTGGTTCCTGGAAAACAGCCTCCCACTGTGTCCGAGAACAACTCTTTCATGGCTAGTTGCTCAATATTTATGGCTTTTTAGAATTCCAAGTAAGCTTACTACTGCACACACTGCCAGTTACAGCAATGGAAGCATTACAACTTTTATTCAGTGTGGACAAAATCACTCTCCAGTATATGAGTAACTGAGACAAAGTGTAGCTTACTTTTAGCAATGTGGGTGGTGACACGTTTTCCCCTCGAGGCTTCCCATACATACTTGGATGCTCCGATGCACTCAGTCTGAGCAGTGCATCAGGACAGTGCATGCTAAGAACATTCAGTACTTTTATTAGCTGATGAGATGACATTTTTAGGCTAAGTGGTATTCTAACCTTGAGTCAGTCAGGACTCTGGCTCTGTATCATCTTAAACTGTTGATACTGTGTAAAAAGAGCTTGCTCCGCAGGGCAACAGAAACCTTGACAACATTCCTGACTTATTTCACATTGTGCTACCGTTCATTTACTTATGTTCAAGTGCTACATTTACACACATATTTTATTTATGAAATTCGTTCTTGTGCCCAGCAGCCTCTGACCAGCCCTCTGGCCTCTAGCCAAGGTTAAGGGCCCATGGGTGCCTTCCCCAAAGGCTGCCGGTGGACAATAATGCAGTAATGTCTATTAACATTATCTGTGTGTGTGTGTGTGTGTGTGTGTGTGTATTGTGCTAGGACTGTGATTCCAAATATAAACACTAGTATTTCTAATAAATTTAGCAAAAAAGGAGCATACTGCTGACTGCAGGTGTAGCTTGTTTTATGTAAATCTTATCTTATCAAAGAAAATATCTGCAATGCCTCACAAAAACATGTTGGTGGAGATTACCAAAATCAGAAACATGGACAATACAAACAGATAAATGCAACTGTCACACATTACAAATGTGTGATCACAATTTCTAATTAATATAGAACGTGTAATACAATGAGTCAGGACATATACGCTGAAGTATTTGAAGTTAACTGAATCAAATACGGTTCACTGCATCAAATATAAGTCTGTTTTCATCACTGATCATTGGTGTGACTTTGCCAAAAAAACACTTTGTTGTCTTGTTTATGGTCAAATGAAGCCTGCAGCAGGATGCCGTGTTCAGATTAGCTAATTATGAATAAGACAGGGCTCATTGTGTGGAATAAACCTGAGCTTTCGGTAAAGTGATGTTATAATGTTACATCAGTTGTTAGTTATTTATTGTATTTATTATTTGTTTTGTTTTTGTCCTTTTCTCACCTTGGCAAGAGGTATTGTTCACCAGATAGCTAGATACAGATGTTTTTGAGATACATGTTATTTTCAGGCCTTTTACAACTGAGTAAGGTGGTACTGCACATTCTAGACCCTGTGAATGGCTTCTACTCTTCAACATGGGGTGTATGTATCACTGCAGAGTAACTAAAATTGCACTTTGCAGCTGTGTAGAATGAATAGTGCCGACATTATTGTGTGTTTTTGTGGCATTTGTGCACGTGCCAGGGCCACGTGATGCCAATTGGTTTGAATCCGCAAGTCTTCCAAATATTAGTTGTTGGTTTTTTTAACAAGAATGTCTCATGTTTTAGCCCTCCATGATAATCAAATAGTCCAGAGCGTTCAGTGAGAGTTGAATTAACATAGAAAAGAAGGAACTTGTGAAACCTGTAAATGTTTCTGAGAAATTCTGTTAGCAAGTAGTAATGCTGGTAAAAGAGTCTGTTAGTGATGACCTTAAGTACGGTATACTGCAACAATTCAAGGCCACATCATTTAACTTCTTATCAACTCATTAAACAATAAAATTTACAAAAGATGATCAACAACATTCTTTAAAAAATCTTGAATAATGTCTGCTTACTTCAGCTGGCAATAAATGCTGCAACAGAATCTAAATATTGGATTTTCCATGAAGATTTGCTTACCCACAGATTTTGGTGCTGATACAGGTCTGGCATTTCAAAATTAACCATTAATTGGTTATATTTTGAGCCGTAACTACAAATTGTGACTTGACTCAAAATCCTAATAGAATGTTTGTATGCTGAGTAAATCAATCAATTTAATTTAGCAGCGGATGAAGGATGTCAGTGAGTACTAATAGGCCTGAGAGCAGACATCCGGTTCAGTGTAGACGTGTTTAGCAATCTCAACCACAGCTAACGTTATCTAACTGACTTTGCCTTAAAAATTGACATTTTAAGAAATAAACGTACTTGCTTTCTTGCTGAGCGTTAGATGAGAAGATCGATATTAGTTTCACGTCTGTATGCTAAAGATGAAGCAGTGGCTAGCATAGCTTAGCATAAAGACTGTAAACAGGAGGGAACAGCTAGCCTGGCTTAAAATCAGCAAAACCAACACCTTGAAAGCTCACAAATTTCCTGTTTATATTTTATTTGTTTAATACGAAAAAGTGTAAAAGTACAATAGCAATAACAATAAAATACTACCACATACACTTTAGAAACCCTCTGCAGTGCGTAGTATGAAGTACGGAATGTTTTTGTTTTTGTCCTGTCCCTTTAAGGAAAGAGACAGACACAGACGACATAAGTGACAGAGATAGAAGAAGGAAGAGTGAGATCATTATCCATCCCCAAATTATATACCGACTTCACTCTGAACTGAAGGCGCTCCACATGGTGCTATTTACACTGTGAAACTCCTTATTTAACTAATGACAGCTCCATGAATACAAAGCAAAAACACTCACTGCTATAAACTGCACATCATCACAAGTCGCCCAGAGCTGTAAATAGCTGTTAAGAACTGAGTAACACTCCCTATTCCTCATATTCTTTTGGCAGCCATAGAAACAAAATCCCTCAAAAGATATTGTCCATTGCATTATCTGTGAACAGAGTAACAACAGCAGCACAGAGAAGCACTATTTGACCAAGACCCCAGCGAGGCCTATGTTTGAGCTGTCTTCCATTGCTATAGTAACTTATCCTTTCAAAACAAACTTTTTTTTGTTGTTGTCCCATAGCGATGGTTAAAACTGATATTGTCTTATCTTATGTATCGACCAGGAGCGCCTGCCCAGACGGAGACTAAATCAATGACCTCTGAAATTCCATTGCTCTGGCATTGGACAAAACAAGTGTCCCTGAATGCTGCTGTTGCATGTCTGGTCTACTGTGAGACACTTATCATCAACATGTCACTGATAGGGCCAGGAACAAGTTTTAATAGTTGACCTATTAGAAAACAGCTTCTAGTACAACATCTACCAATACATCCATCACTGAGGCTGATCCTCTAAGCTTCTAAATGCACAGCCATCAGGGTCTGTACGTTTTAACAGTGCAATGCTGTGACTGATATGGCTCATTTTCACAAGATAAATAACTGAATAATCAGAAAAATACTCTGTTTTACAGGACTTATACACTGCACAAAAGAAGCTTCACTCTCCCTCCTTGGCACCACATCCACATCCCCAACACGATATAAACTGTAGGTCGGACTCAGCATTCATTAAATGAACCTCATGACAACTATTTTATTTTCCACAAACAAAACAATGAAAAAATGGTTACTGAGGAAACATTATCACCACTCTGATAAAGCAGCACACTCACATTCTGATCAGCACTTCTCTCCTTCCTGTAACTTAAAATGAGTCACATACCGCCAAAACACAAATGTGTCACACGAATAGCGCAGTAACTCATCCGCTAAATGTATGCTCTTACAATATGCAGTGTCTGGGGCTTTTGCTGTGGCTATTGGATCACTGTGCTGGGTATTTTATGTCATAAGAGATGATAGAGGAGTGTGGTCCAGAAAACAGACAGGCACACGCCCGACAGAGTCACAGCCAAATCTCCTGTCTGCCGGAGCCACTGCTCCCCATTCAGGATGGTAAGCCATAGATTCCCCACCGCTCTGTAGGTTCCTCCCATGATGCCATCTTGCTCTCTATTCAAGTTGACACCATCTTGGCTGACAGATGATGTCCCTGCCCTCAGTGCAACCACACGGTGACGGGGAAGCCTTTGTTCTGTGTTAATTTGCAGATAAGGTGGATGAAAGGAGGTAACTTGTCATGGCAAACAAACGTGGTAACATAGATTATCTTTTGATGTACAAGTCAGAGCGAGATAAAGGACACCAACATGTGGGAAATTGCACCATCTTGTGGCAAATACATGAAAGTACGCAGAGTAGAGGTGGAGAACAATTACTCACCAAGACAGCTCTGCAATGGCATAACGACAGTAATGACACACACAGAAAGAATAGATGCATATGCCTATAGAGAAATAAGAAGAATGTTTTAAATAAGTCATCACATTTTCTTTCTCAAAATAACAGCTTACAGTGTCTTTAATGTCTTATTCATTATGGAAGTCCAATTAGCATTTTCACGTATTTTAATTATTAAAGGTTGATCAAACTATCAAAGGACAACTGTATATTGTAAGAGTCAAGCTTGCAGTGTGTTGTGTTTTCCTCTTACTAAATACAGTAGTATTGCCTTGTGCTTACCAAGAGAAGCTGTGCACCATTCTGAGTCATTCTCCTCAAGGCTTTTCCCATCTGAACTCCAAGCAGAGCTAAAGAGCAAGGCGTTACTGCTTCTTCATCCTCAGTCTCCATACATCTAAGGAGATAAAATAACTGTGTTATACAGTTATAGCATATACTCATACTCATTACCTCATTCATATATTCTAATTATATTATATTATATTATATATAAGGCCTTCATATTTTTGTTAAAACAATACAAGCCCATCAATGAAATGACAAGAATGAGGTAATGAGTATCATTAGTAAGCGCAGGAGCAGACATGAGGGTGAAACATAGATGTGTTCAGCAACATTAGTTAACTCACTTTGCCTGTAGATATTCCCAAATATCAAGTATGTGTGGTAATTATGAAGGTACCACTAACAAGCAGTTAGCTTAGCTTAGCACAAAGAGGGGAAGAAGCTAGCCTGGCTCTGTCCAAAGGTTACAAATTGTACCTACCAACACCTCTAAAACTCACTCATTAACATAACACGTTATATCTCATTTATTAAACATGCTGCTGGTGGTGCCTTCATATTTACCATACTTACTGGAAATGTAAGTTATCAATCGTCCCATCTAAGTCTTGGCAAGAAAGCAAATAAGTACGATCACAAGAATCGTATTGTATAATATACTGTATAGTATTACTAAGTATTATAAACAGCCTTGGATCACCCAAATAATATTGATGTTTATTATTCATTGTTACTGGTAGTTCATGCACCTTTTCAAGATTTTCTCCACCACAATGTCCAGCTCATCATGACGTGACACATTAAACAAGCCGCGGACGCTCAATGGAAGAACGTGCCCTTGTTGTGCCAGAACGACCAAGTTGTACATTCCCTGTGAGTCCGTGTGAAAATAAAGTCATAACAGGGGCTGATGGGTTATTCACCGAGAAAGTCTCCAAATAATAACACTGTATAATGCTGTTTGTTGTTTTTATTGCGGTGGGCCTGAGCCCATGGACGTTTAATTAAGTTTATCATAGGGTGATGAGATTAGAGCCCAAGTAAATCTGTCACCTGAGGGCTGCCTGCTAGAGCCGCTCTGCCATACATCGATACTGCCTGACCAACCAAAGATAATGAGTCTTCTCGCGTGCTGGAGGTACAGTAGTAGTAGTCTCCCATTTTCAGCAGAGCTATAAAAGAAGATAAATACTTTCTGCTTATCGACCAGATTGACAGGGAGAGGGAGAGGTTGAAGCAAAATGAAATGAGAGGAACTCACCGGACGGATGGGGATCATAGTTTAATATAGAGTAGTTATGATATCTCCACTGACAATCATGACTGAGATTCAGTTCCTACATTTGGGAGAATGAGTGCAGGGTGAGAAAGAGCAGAGCAATGATGAAGGTTATGTTATCAACAATTTCCCTCCGGCTTGGTGTTCTTCTTTTAGTATGTGACTAGAATTATGTGCAATTTGTTCATTGGCTACCTTCACAACTCCAATTAAGAGACACTGATTTCAGCACTGTGCTGAACATCAGGTTAAAAGAATGGACATTGTTTTGTTGAGGACAGTCACAAAAGGTTACAACAAGAGAAAGAGCTACAGTTACCTCACACAGGTGCGCAACATTGCTCTGGGCCAAACCCAGACCGGTTTCAGCTACCAAAACATACTTCACAAAGGCCTCCTGCCTGTTTGCAACACAATAAAACAAATAAGAAGAAGCTGAGACAAATAGTAAAGAGCAGAGAAGATGATTAAATGAGGACAATTGAAAAGTAATTGAAATTAATGTCCCTACCAAGAGCCCTGGAGGTAGGCTTGGAGAGCCTCTCTGATCATAAATCCAAGGTGTCCGTTCTGTTCACAGACCGTTTTTAGCATTCTGCACAGAGGGTAAAGGATGGGTGATGAATTATGGAATATAATTTTCTTCACATAAACGGAAAATATTTTAACATGATCTAAAAATAGTTTCTGATTTGTTGAGGTCATTCTAAAAAAAAGCCTCTACAGCCACAGCAGGAGCTTCTTTAAATTCATAAGATACCAGAGGAACAATGGTAAGCAGAATCTCCCTGTGCCAGACAATAATGCAGTGACAGTGACTCTTATTTTTAGATATGCAAATACTAGGTTCTGACCTTGAATTAGCCACTGTCATTGAAATTAGATGCCACTGAGCTGCAGGCTACAGTGCAACAGCCCATAACAAAGCTTTCTTCACCAAGCTAATGAAAGCCTCTTACATCACAGCCCTCTCCACATCCTGAGACACCCCTTCCAGGCTTCCTGTCGAAAGGTACCAAGCTACCTCCACTGATGCAGCGATGTGACCTAACCGAGATGCATTTAGAAACTGGTGGAACGCAGCCGTCTGTGGATCATACAGAAAATAAATCAGCTCATTGATCGCACCATATCAGTGATAAAAATACATTTTGACAAGGTGTGGGGCTCCAACCTCATTCCTCCATGTGCTGTCCGTGTTTATCCCACTGAGATGGTAAATGCCCAGGTTAAACATGCCATCAGCACTCCCATTTAACGCTGCTTGTTCAAAGTATATCGCTGCAGTTTTGTGGTCGTTCAGAACAATCCCATGGTACCAGCCTAAACCATTCAAGGCATTAATTGAGCCCTAAAGCCAGGAAACAAACACTGGTATAGTGAAGGCACATTCTGTAAACACACAGATTGATTACTAGCAGTATACAAGTACCATTGCTGCAGCTTTCTCCAGCAGCTGAAAACCTCGGGTGTGGTTTCTTTTCACCCCCTGGCCCTGAAGGAATCAACATCAGTCAGTGAATCGATAACTGTCAAAACACAGACACACACAGACAAAGTATCCAGTGTTCACTTTAATTGTAAAATAGGTAAGTCTTTGTAATCTTACAGAACCTTCATCAGTAGGATGGAGTAGTCGTACATCGCTGAAGGATCCTTCATCTGTATAGCACTTCTTTCAAACCACTTCGCCGCACTCACTTGGTCTTTAGAAAGTCCATGTTGTCCCCAGTAAAGCATTTTTCCCAGGCGTTTCTGAAGATAAGAGAGTTTTATTGGCCTGTTCTGAACAACTACCGTGTCTTCTGATCATTACAGAGGAATAAAAGTAAGATTTAACTCCAGACATACCTGAGATTCTACGTCTCCTCTCTCTGCTTGGAATTTCAGATACTGAAAGACGTCTCTTGTCTTGTGTGTGAGTCTGTATAAATCCTCTTGATTGCTTAGATAGATGTGTTCAGGTGTGTATTGCTTTAGGAAAGACAAATGGTGACATAAATAGAAAACTATTAGTTATTGCTACTATTACAAATAAAAGTCTTAGTACTAAAGCAGTGGTCACACCACAAAGTGACTTAAAATTAACGTACACACAAAATAGGTGAGGACAGAAGCCTGGTGATGTAGTAAATACTCGCAGCCGCTGCAGTTGGTGAGCTAACCGTTAACTCGCTAGCCGACCCGACCGGGCTAATGGTAGTCAATCACAGTAACTCCCTAAGCTTCTCTCTAATTTTCTCTCTCTTTTATTTACCTCCCTGTGGTATGTTTTTCACCATTGTACATCATTTAGTTCAATAAAAACACATTGAAGAGGCAAAATAAATCTCTCTGAGATAATAGGCTTGCTAACAGCAAACTCTGAGCTTGTTAATTCAGCTCAGTCGCTAATAGAACAAAAAGTTCACACAGTTTATTAAAAAGACAAATTTGTCTGCAAACCACAGTTCTTGCTCCGATGGAGGAGGTTAAGTAAAAGTGGATGGTGCTAGACAGCTAATAAGCCACGCTAGCTTCCTCTATTTTTAACTGAACAGCACTAATTTGCTGTTAAAGTTCACCAAAGTTTAACTCTATATATGTGGAACATTTGCACGGATTCATTTCTGAATATATAAATAAAGGAATTCCCTGAAAACAAACAACAATGAAAGTTTGAGTAGGTATTATTTAAAGTTGAACTAATCTGCTTCTTCAGATTTGAGTGGCATAAGCAAACAACTCCACAACAGCTTACACAGCAGCAGCTTGAGATTCAAATACTGCTAAATCCTGATAGATGCTTAGAAGTACACAACATCACATTTTTCAAACCACTTCAAACCCGTCAGAAGTAAAAACAGCACAGACACATTGCTCAACTGAAACAAAACGTTTTAACAGAACATTTTGCAGTCATGTAGGACCCTGTCACTTATAATAAGGTTTTAATTAAGCTTTTAATCTTTAATTAAGATTGGATCCAGGTGGATTATTGCACATCATCTACTCAGAAAGTTTCCAAATTGGTTAAAATGCAGAGCGTGAGTTTTCCCTTATAAACTTCACCACAATTGTTTTCTCTGTGCACTGGCTGCTTACTCAAGCTGGAACACACAGTGAAGTCATTCTGTTGTCTTCGTGAACCTCTATTCATTTGATAAAGCTTATTTAAATATTCTGAGAATAAACAGGAAATCAGTCTGAAGTAGAGTTTTCTAATAGCGGGCTCCTTATCTTTGGACCGCTCTTCTTCTATTCATCCTGACAGCTAACTCATTCACATTTTTAAATTAAGATTTAAGACCCACCTTTTCTCCCTGGCTGGACCAACAAATGCACTATTCATCATGTTTTGGAGATTTGAATTGCATTTGATGTCTATGTGTTTTATTACTCATTACCATTATATCTGTTTATAATGTACAGTATAACACATAGGATGGATTGCTATGTTTTACTCATGTTCCTCATTTTCTTAATTTTTTAAAAGGAATAGTTACATGTTTCTGGAAAGTCATTTTCTTGCTGAGAATTGAAAAGATCGATACCACTCTTATATTTCATTCAATTTGAAGCATAGACTGAAAAAGGGGAAGCAGCTAGTGGCGGGGAATGTCTGTACAAGATATTATGGCAATCCATCGAGTGGTTGTCAAGACATTTCAGTCTGGATTAAAGTGAAGGACTGATATTGCCATTCCTAAAAATAATAGTTGATTTAAACCTACCTTATCTTCATGCATCCTAGAACTATCAATGTCGCTCTGCGCCCCAGTGTTGGAATAGTAGCTGTACGCCATGTCCAAGTCTTTTGGAAATCCATCAATGCCTTGTGTGTGCTTGTACCCTGCATGCATCAGTGCGAAACGGTTATCACCTGCTGCGCCAATCAAACTATAGACATGACCCTGAAACACACAGGAGTCAATATTATCAGTCATTGGTACAGGAGCAGCGTTACATGTGAGGAAGCAGCAATTAAAGAAGGAAGGCCCTACCAGTTGTTGATCGACTGCATGTCCCAGGCCGGAGAGGTAGATAGTGGCTAACAAGAGAGATGCTTTGTGATATCCAAAGCAGGAGGATACTTGTAGTAGAGACGTTGATTTGGTTGGAATTTTAATTTCTGCCTCACCCCTGGTGAAAATTGTACCAACTGCATGTTCAAACAAAGGCCCTCTGAGGTCCTTCATGCCCAAAGAGCCTACAGAAAATGATACAGAAAATTGTCAAAAACTGTGAATAATGATGTGAGTTATTTATGACTCATATGTGACTCGCCTCTTCTGATGTCCTCCTCTTTTATTTGCAAGACATCAAAAAGCACGCTGTAATTAAGTTGTTTTTCCCAGGTCCATGTTTGCGTGCTGGTTTTCTCTCTAAACCGACCCCACAGTTTTATGAAGTGAGGGGTGCAGACACCTGAAATAAAACATAACCTGTCAACAGTAATCTTCCCATACTTAATAGGTGTTGTTCTGACACCCTGTATATGAGATCTATTTAAGGTAGATCCTGACAGCTTGCAACACTCCTTTAAAGTCCAAATAATATTTCACCTTTGTTGATTATTGACGGGAGGTGACTCTCAGTTACTTGTTGGATAAAAGCTCTTGTAATTGCTTTTATGTCCACACACTCCTGATGAGTCTTATCCAGTTCCTGTAGTGCTGACTTTGGGTGAAGTTCATTTGTTACCTGTGGCATGGATAACGTCATATTTGAACACACGGTAATAAAGCAACAAAACAACTCAATTTGACTTATTTGATTAGAAAACTTTACCACTTCAGTTCCAAAACGATAGTATTTGATAGGCCCAAAATACCCACGTATGCCTGACATGTGCTTGCTACCTCCGATCACAAAGTATCCATCAGTGTCATCATAATGGATACTGTCCTGAAATCTGTAAGATATTCAGAACCAGCTCTCATGATCATTGTACATGTCGTCCCCTCCAGTACAGTAACTGGACTAACAGGTGTTTTTCTTACTTCAAAACATTTAAAACGTATTTTTTTTAAATCCATAACACGTCTTACTCATAATCATATTTGAGTGTTTCACCATCCCATGTTGCATCCAGCAGCACCTGAAAGTCAGACATAATAATGCATGAGCTCATGACACAGAAAAAAACCTACTCAGCTGTGAACAGCTTCAAACTGCAGTACACACTGCAATCGCCTGGAGTTTCCCAGCTGGAAAGGAACCATCTTTCAGAATCTTACAGCTGTTCCAAAAGGAAATCAAACACTGCAAAGCTAGGGCACCAAACGAGACTCAGAAGAGAAAGGATGACTATAAGATATTGCTCCAAGCTGTATTTTAAGTTATGTTCCATATCCCACCCAGAGGCACACACTAAGGCTCTATACCTTGGAGTCTTGTATGTAACAGTCCAATCTAATCCATTTCCGCAGGGGCAATGCTACACTGGTTTGGAACGCTTCATCTTCTCCTGTTGTCACACGTGCCTGAATTATGACGTCCCCTACACAGGAGATATGACAGTCATATATTTCACCACAAGCTCTTTATTAATACATGACACAGTCTGTTCCACAGTCTCACAAAACACACATCATCACTCACAATGATCTCATGATACCTCAATCTAATCCCCTAAACTGGTATCAGGTGTACCCACAAGCTGCTGTGACCCACCTGTGTCTGTAAGCTGCATCAGGACGGAGTCGTATAAATTGTTCCTATCGACATGATGGATGATCCCACAGAGCTTCATGTGACACCATTTCAGTAGGTAGATCCACACAGATAAGGTGACGCTGAAAACCAAGCAACGAAAAATCATTTGACAAATCATTTCTTCACCCACTGAGGCGTGAGGTTGAATTTAAAATGAAGCGCTATCTGCTAAAAATGACTGACCTCGCTGTCTGCCATTGACCGTAAATAAAAAGCTTATATGCTCTGGTGAAGAGGCTTTGTGAAGCTTGTAAAGTCATTTGTAATGATGGCGAAGTAAAACTAAAAGGGGAGTATGTTATAACAGCTGCCAGCACCAAAAGGGAAACAATCACTGACCTGTGGCCTGTTAATCTGCTGATCAACACAAACCACTATTGCATACTGTGAATTTCAGGTAATATATGGTACTTTGTGAGGATTATTTGGTTTTATTGTACACATTTATGGTATGTATGGTATGTATGGTATATATATGGTAACATAAACAAATTCTGCTAATATATATGCTTTATTCTAAGATAACAAGAACACAATTCTTATTTTCAGGTGATTATACACTAACAAAAACATACCTATGAATATTACATTCCACTTCTGCTAATAGATCCTCCTAAATGTCACACCGGACCTTAAGTATTTAAGCATTTGGAGACCCTGCTGGAGATTTTTTCATACTGTGTAGTTGAACTTCATACAGAATAAGATCCAGCTAAAATGAACTGAATGAGATGCTGTGTGTGAAGTTTAAGTCCAACCTGGGCTGTGTCACAGCATGAAGACGGGCTCTCTCCAGGCCTCTGTCGATAAAAGGCTGAAACCTGCGGACCACTCCAAAGTGCTCTGCAGTAGTTGCTAGTGGAAACTTTAGAAGATCGATTGTGTCTATGTACAAGAAAACAGCAAAAGATTACATACACAAACCATTAAAGATTTTAGTAATAAAGATGGGATGTGGAATATATTAAAGAATGTGATAAAGGGTCTGACCTGACTCATGTGGACAATGATAAATTCTGTTTCTGGTCATCTGCCACATCAGCTGAGCTGACCATGAAGGGCAGTCAGTGGGAGGTTTAGTTGGACGCTCTGAGAGTGGCTTTATCTGCAGCACTTTATAAATCTTCAACATGGAGCTATGGTATGTCCCCGGTTCACTGCCATCATTAAGATGGTCTAACCAAGCACGTACTGTCACATTCTGCACATCCAAAACATGTCTGTTGAAAAAGTCATGTTGATATAAAATGGACGGAGGCAATCTGAGCAGCACCTGGTGGATCCTGTAGACTCGGGCCGCGCTGCTGTTCCACTTCCTCCTGAAGACCGCTAAATCTGTCTTCTTTAATGTGGACACCACCACCTCCACTGCAAGATGACATGGCCTAGAGCATTGATACTGCACACGGACCACTGAGCCATCTACCACTTTGTCAGGGGCTGAGTCAAACCCTATGAAATTGTCAGGGACGCTCTCACCAGTCAGGGAGGAGGAGGCGGAAATGGCTTGTAACACACAGTGTCCCTGGGTGAAGTGAAAGATAAGTAAATAAAATTAAGTGAATGTGAAGAAAATAAGACAGGAATCATGGGTATGTTGCCAGCGGGCACATTTTCAAGAGGATGTTCACTTGCTGAAACCTGCTTTGACTCATTCTTTTGGTCACTTGGGGCCAGCAGAAACTAGTTGTGAACACAGCACTGGTATATCATCACCTCGCCCCATTCAGACTGTCTCACTGCGGCCGAAGAGGTCGCATAAAAAAAGCAAGTAATTTTCTAGTGTGATGTCTTTTCTGCCTCATTGTGATGTGTGATGTCCCCCTGAGGCCAGAGGGCGGAAAACATTTACTGGTTTTTGACGGTTGGTGAGAAGCATAGCTGTAGTGGGTGTTTCTTCAGTCACAAGGGACAACAACGAGCACATTCAGAAACAAACTTTGACAGGCAACATAAAGGTGAGATTTATGTTTTATTGGAAGAGTTTTCAAACACTTGGTTTTAAAAGAGGATGAAGACTAGACGGTTCGGCTAATGTTCGTCAGGCTAACCCTCTGCTAAAGAGAACTGCCCAACCACTTCCCTGGCCTTTATATGGGACCTTTTCCACGGTTAATCATCACTCTCATATTCAAATTCACTCTCTTTTAGCTCTGT